TGAAACTTAAATAAGAGTTTGAATGGATAAAATTAAAAGATATAAAGGTGTCATACTCCAATTGGTAACTACAGGGAAACATTTGTTTAATAAGAAAAGATAATATGAAATTGAAACAGGACAGACAAAAGTATAAATATAATGATTTGATTGAGATGAGATAATTAAAATAAAGTTGAGAAAATTAAAAGAGGGGAAAAACTATGTAGAAAATATAAAACGGTAATAAGATATGGAATAGAATATAAAAATGAGCATGAAATTGAGTTTGGTGTCTGTATGAAGAAGTGATAACCTGGGACCATGCTATTTTCAAAAAAGATGTTTTATTTGTATTTTGTTTTTGTGAAAACCCAAATAAAACTTTCAAAAAAAAAAAAGAAATTTAAAAAATTGAAAGATTTAATCTTGACAAACATTCTCAGAGATGCTACCATAGCACAGATCAGTATCAACTGAGGCAAATAACTCTGACTTAGGAACATGAACAATGGATCTGCCAAAATCTAGCAAGTCTAGAACGTTTTAAAAGGTCCTCATGCTCCTGTTGCCCCCAAACCAATCCTCTATGTGATACACACCATGGTGAGTAGTGCCTACTGCTGGAGTTTATTTTTTGCATGTACAAGGGGCTGTATTTACATCGATATATGGTTCACATTTTTCTAAACTTAAGTATAGGATAGGTATTCATAGTTTTTTTTTATATGATCCTGCATATTTTCAGTTTCATAATCCAATTCAGCTTGAATCAAGTTTCTCCTATTTGTTTTTTTACTGTTATGTACAAAAATTATTAGTATACTACTAAATTATAACTAATAATTAAAAAATATGTATTATATAATGGAATTATTACATACAAATATTTAAAGAACCATGTTTACTTTGTACATGCTTAAAAATCATTTCGAAGTGTGATAGTGTTTGAATACTTCACACATAGTGTATATTGAGGCGTACTTATTCTAGGCAATGAGTAATGTAGGCTACATCTAAAGTTCTTTGTACTTTGTATTGATATTTCACTGCATTTTGAAAGTATACAAATCCAAATTAGTAAAAAAGAGAGAGAAAAGTACCCTAATAGTACATTTATTACTTACAAAGCTCACTCTTTTTATATCATTTTCACATACTCTGCCAGATTATCTGCATGATATAGTCATAACACAGAGAAGCAAGTCTACTTATATTGTAATACTGAATTTTCTAAGCAAGGCCACTGCAAATCAGACAGGATTTAACAAAAAATAAAAGAATAAAAATAAACAAATTAATTAAAAAGAAAACAAAAACAAACTCAAAGGGCAGACTTAAAAGACCATTCAATCTTTTTCTGCCATTAGTTTTCTATGTATGAAATTGGGAATTGGAAATGAGCAGTAAGAATGCCTCTCAAAGGTGGTTGAAATTCATCTATTTAATTCGGTCAAACTCACACCTTCATGAAAATATATTCACTGTCAAATTAACTTACTTCATTAAACCCCCTGGGTTCAATATGCTACGTAGAAGGAAAATTTTAATTATCAGCAGGGCTATGGCAGCCCAGAATAAAAAGACAGTGACCCATTTTAGGTAATGAACCCCAGGAGGGCAACAGACTTGGTGCAGGGCTGCCCAATTTTGTAGTAAAGTGACATATATATCACTCTTTTTTTCTTAAAAAAAAAAACCCAACCTAACAGTCAAGATATAAAAATGCCAGATGTTAACAAAACTTCTGGCATCTTTCTTAATATCTGGACTCAACTTATATTGCCAAGAAAATGTTAGTTAATGCAATGGTTGGTTTTGTGTGAGTAAAATCTTATTATATTCCGTTCCATTCACCATTCACCAGCGAATAAAAGTAATGGATTTGATATTTTCTGGCAGGGACTTGGGGAGATCCTCAACTACTCTGGAAGCAGTTCTTTGATTTCTTAGTGGCCCATTGACAATAGGGGCTTGACATAGTTTCTCCAGAGTGGGGTTTTCCATTGCACCAAAATGGTTTACTGAGCTCTGTGAAATGAAGTAGAAACAATCCCTGAATTGCCAGCAGAGGAAGAGGATTTGTTTAAGCATGGCTTTAAGCTTAGTTTGAAACCTGTATCATGTTGATAAAGAAAGCTAAGTATCATTACTTCTCCTGAATTGGATCAACGGGTCCAATTGGCCAGAAGCTTTGTTTAAGTGTAGGTAATTCCTGCCTTAGTCGAAGGCAATCAGGCAGCTCTCCTACTTGTGAGAGTTTGTTCAGCACTTTGTTGATAATGTCACTCAGATTTACTATCTTCATCATGTCGTTGGCTAAAGGCTTTGATTAAATAATAGGATGCCATAAACATGGCTGTATTTGATATTTGAAGATGTCTTCAAAGTTTCAGTTGGTTTAGTATGTAGTAATTCAGGTATTGGTTAATGCTTCTCACCACAAATACCTTAATCAGATACCATATTGGCTATCTGTTGCTTCTAGGTGCATTTCAAAGTGCCTGTTTTAACTTACCTGCCCAAGCACTATCTCCTGAGATAAACTTTTAGGGGTCTTCCACTTCTGTGAACAGAGAGGGGATGAAATTCACGGGGACTTCTTTTTTTAATAACTGCACCTATGTTAAGAAACAACCTTCCTCTGGAAATCAGATTTGCTTCCACATTGTTGATCTTTTGAAACTAAATTATTTTGAAGTATCTACATCATTGAGGGGTTTATGATGCTCTTTGATTATTTTATGGATCTTGCTAAGTATTCATTTCAATGGATGTTTTATTTATACACTTGTTTATGTTACCTGTAGTTTATTATTAACTACTATTGAAAATCTGGTAAAAATGAAATCAGATTTCATTTTCTCACTCAGAGTCACTTCAAACTGCGAGATGAGAGGTAAATAAATTTGAAAATAATAAAAATTAATGAAGAATCACATATAATAAATTTCATAATCAGGTAATAAATCAGTATGGCAAATAAACACACCTTTTCATTATAAGAAGATGTAATTCAAACACCGTGATAAGTTTTGATTATCATACTCTGATGTATAAAATAAAATATGTGGTTGTCAAAGAAGATTCAAATGAGATTCATAGGGAGAGTAAAGTTATTTTATTAAATCATGCACATCACATGTGTTAGTGCAAATAGTTCAATCTGTACTCCAGAAATTCTATTGTTTTTTATATCTTTACAAAATAGATTTAAAACAATTATTTACTTTTAAAAATGTAATTCTGAAGTTAAGCATTTTCAGAATAATATTTGCAATAACCTATATACAAGAGGTACTGTGTACCACTGGCATGTGTGTGTTGTGGGTGAGTTACAGTTTCCTGCAACTGAAAATAATGAAATGAACAAAAATGATATTTTCTACATTTGTGAACTAACATTCCCTTAAATCTAAAGGATCCTCCTATTAACAAATTCCAAATAGCGTAAGATAGAACCTTTAAAATAAAAATGACCCTCAAAGGCAAATAATCTAAAAAGTCTATTTAAATATTGAACTAGATTTTGATTGCCATTAAATCCTTGAAAACAACTCAATTTTAGTTGAGAAAAATCTTCCTATGAATTTTCTATCAGCTGAATCATTTCACCTTTCAATTCTTTTTATATTATTACAGATCTTAATAAACTGAACTGATATGTACTGAAAACCAGCACAATCAGGTATAAGTTATGATTGTTCCTATTTATAACCAATACTCAACTAGAAACATTCAGATTAAGGTCGAACAAATTGTGATGTGAAGCTTTTAATCATGGACACCACATTCTTTCACCATAAATTGGTACACAGAGGACCAATTAAGATTCCACCCTTCCTTGAAAACTGGACCAATTTGATTTTCTTCCTCCTTTCCCTAACACTAAAAGCACTCAAGAACCTCATGTCATGAAGTTATGCCAACACAAGTACAATTAAAGAAACAAACGCTACTTTCCCCAGTTTGGTTCTGCAAATAAGTGACTGAAAAAAACCATTTTTCTAATGTGGTATGTGAGAAAATACATTGGGTTTTTATAGTGTCTATATACATAAAATTTAATAAATTACATTCAAACTAAAAATTGGATTACTGCACTATGTTCATCTGAAAATCAAGATTTTGCTCCCAGAAAAACCTTAATTCACTCAGGCACACACATGCACACAAAAACAGTCTAGACTTATGCTTTTCACTCATTTTTTTCTAGAGCTCTTTAAGGCTGACAATGAATTATACAAGCTCCAAGTCATCAATAAAATAGGGCTTTTACTGAACAAAAATATTTATTTTTATCAGAAGATATGGAAAAAAAAGAAAATTGTTCCCAATAGCTCAGTGACTCACAGCAAGTAAAAATAATGATATGTTAATGTACAAATAACATCAAACTGAAAGGCACTGAGCACACTGCATCGACTTCCAAGTATTTAAAGGATATTTGGCATGGGTATCCAAATAAGGGAAAATGCATTGCTTTCAAATGGGCAATCAATTTTTTAATGTAAAATACCCACACACCTAACCATCATAAATAATTTGGTACCAAGAAGCCTACTTGAGGCCACCATAAGAGTATTTAGGACTCCGACATACAATCTTAAGAATTACATATATGTGTAAGCAATAATATTGCTCACCATAGAATGAAATTATTATTTTATTCTCTCTTTATAACAGATACAGTTTGTACAGTGTAAAGCAATGATCCTGCTGCTGCCAAACTCTAAGAGGTAAAAAAAGGGTTAGGAAGAGGATGATTCTCTGATTCCCTTAATGTGTGAATGATGCCAGCTTCTAGATGGAGGGTGGGGTAGGGATTCAACAACAGTTCTCATGGAGAAGCTCTGGTGAGGCCTGGGTACAGCACCATGGCTGTCACAGCTACCAAAGCTGCCATCACAGGCATCCAAGGCCATTGGCTCTGTGTAGGAAAAAAAAGAAAAAGAAAAAAGAAAAGAATCAATCTCTCATTTGTTGTAGTTGATATTACTTCTTTAACTTTCTTGGCAAGCCTAGAATGTTTTCCGACAAATTTAGGTTTGGGGGAAATGTTGGCTGGATTTCAATTAATTAATTAAATATAATTTCATTAAAAAGAAATTTAAGTGGACACAAATATCCATGATCTAATTTTTATTTTTATTTTTCTGCCTTCTGAGTTAAGTGTTGACTCCTGAACTAGTCCCTGCAGTTTCCTTGGCAAGGTTTTTAGAAAGACGTTTGCCACTGCCTTCCTTTTAGGAGAGTGAGTGGCCCAGTGACTGGTCCCTGAACTGACTTCATGTCAATAGCAGGACTAGAACTCATAATTTCTAGCCTGGTACCTAACCATTACACCAAATTGGCTCTCTCTTAACTGCATTAGGTTTATAATTTAGCCAGCTAGGTAACCTGCTATCCTCCATGTAATGTGAACTATCTTTTTTTTTTATAAATTATGCTGCCCAGGATTAATGTACAGTATTTGAAGCATGCATACTGCCCTTTCTTGCTTTCAAATGTTTCCTATTAATTCATTGAGAATTCATTAACAGCATTTATGCTTTGTTCCAAGTAAAGCTAGATAAATCCCATGCCAAATTATGAATTCTTCAAAAATGTCTTCAAATGCCTTGAAATAATGCATGTTTAACATTTCTTGCCTAGATTTAAAACGAGTCAGAAATATTGCAATGTTAATATTACATGTGTAATTGTTCATGTCCACTCCTTGAAAACATTAACCATTATGATTATTTTATATAAATGGTTATGGTCTTACAGAATTCATTTTGGAAAGTAATAGAAACCACTGCAAGTTTACAATGGGAAATGCAAACCATCCACCTACTTTCCTCACCTTGTCCTTCCCCTTCCATCTTTGTCACCACAATAGTGAGAAAAATAAATTCAGAGAGAAATGTTGGAATTAGTTGACGGTAAAAAAGGGAATTCAAGAACCAAACTGAAGCAAGCAAATATCTGATTTGCTAAGAGTGAAGTAAGTAGTTAGGTTTCCTTCCAGACCCTAATTACAGCACCTTATGAAAGACAAATGTGTATTGGAAAAGGAACAGAAAAACATGTTTACAATACTTTTAGCATTAGCACAGGGGGAAACAGACAGATGTTAAATGATTAGTTTGCTTGGTTTGCCAATATTATAAATAATGGCTTATTAAATGAAGAATTGACTTGAGTCAGGTAAATAAGTGTTCGCTTTTCATCATGCATTTTTTTTTTACAAAAATGGCACAAACAGGTGACAAGGGACGAACATACACGGACTGAATAGTGCTTGTAGTACCTTTCTCTACCACAATGGGCTGTAACACCAAAACAGGAAAGCCAGGATAAGGCCGATGAAAACGGCTGGGACGGGTGGAAATATGGAAGGCTAAAGGGAAGGGAAGGGATATTAAGATCATTTTGTGCTATAAAAAATCAATAAGGTAAAGATGATTTAGATAGGGGGATAGTTCAAAGATCAATTCTTGTTTCAACTGAAACATAAAGACATCCAACAAGACACAACTACTTTGGCATACAAAGTTAGTACACCACTGTACAGAATAAACATGGATAATGAAAAATGAAACATTATTTTCTTGTCACAAGGAATTTGCTACAGCAGCCTTCTTCAACTGGCTAGATGACTATCTCCCTTCAGAAATGATGGACTTTCTATCTCACTACCCAGCAAGTCCAGCATATTTGGAGGAGGCTAGGTTGGAAGGCTTCACTAGATGATAGCGTCCAGTACATTTTATATGTACAACAAATGCCAGAGTCTCACCCGTACTCAATCTAGAACTTCAAAGACTGATCCAGAACTCTGTCCATAAAGTACTTTCCCTCAAACATCTTTCTCTTCACCGATTTATAATAAAATGCAAATCCTGTAGCCAAATTATTGGTGGCGGTCATGTAAATACTTTTTTTACATAAGCATCATTTCCATGAAAAAAAAAAAGTATCTCCAATGGAAAACAATATCCACTGTAAAGAACACACAAACATATCTGATTTTGTATAGCTATATGTGTTCTTCAAAATGATGCCTCACTGTGTAATTATAATTTTGACAACACTTTGTGTGGACTAAACACTAAGTTATGCACAATGCTTTTCAACAGGGAAAAGAATAACAAGCATATTCACATCATTTTCACAAGCAATATTGTTTCATTTTGTATAGTATTATCTGAATCTAAAATACTGTTAACATCTAAATCTGATTTTAAAATAGCAACTAATTACTCAAAATGACAGGGTTGCAGCAACAGGTAAAACAACTGCACCCTAAGGTTTACTTCTGAGTCAGCAACTGTTATCATGAGCCTCATTGATATACACTGCTCAAAAAAATAAAGGGAACACAAAAATAAGACACCCTAGATCAGAATGAATGAAATATTCTTATTAAATACTTTGTTCATTACATAGTTGAATGTGCTGACAAGAAAATCACACAAAAATTATAAATGGAAATCAAATTTAGCAACCCATGGAGGTCTGGATTTGGAGTTACACTCAAAATTAAAGTGGAAAAAAACACTACAGGCTGATCCAACTTTGATGCAATGTCCTTAAAACAAGTCAAAATGAGGCTCGGTAGTGTGCATGGCCTCCACATGCCTGTATGACCTCCCTACAATGCCTGGGCATGCTCCTGATGAGGTGGCGGATGGTCTCCTGAGGGATCTCCTCCCACACCTGGACTAAAGCATCCCCCAATTCCTGGACAGTCTGTGGTGCAATGTGGCGTTGGTGGATGGAGCGAGACATGATGTCCCAGATGTGCTCAATGGGATTCAGGACTGGGGAACGAGTGGGCCAGTCCACAGCATCAATGCCTTTGTCTTGCAGGAACTGCTGACACACTCCAACCACATGAGGTCCAGTATTGTCATGCATTAGGAGGAACCCAGGGCCAACCGCACCAGCATATGGTCTCACAAGGGGTCTGAGGATCTTATCTTGGAACCTAATGGCAGTCAGGCTACCTCTGGCGAGCACATGGAGGGCTGTGCGGCCCCCTAAAGAAATGCCACCCCACACCATTAATGACCCACTGCCAAGCCAGTCATGCTGGAGGATGTTGCAGGCAGCAGAACGTTCTCCACGGTGTCTCCAGACCCTGTCACATCTGTCACGTGCTCAGTGTGAACCTGCTTTCATCTGTGAAGAGCACAGGGTGCCAGTGGCGAATTTGCCAATCTTGGTGTTCTCTGGCAAATGCCAAATGTCCGGCACGGTGTTGGGCTGTAAGGACAACCCCCACCTGTGGACGTCAGGTCCTCATACCACCCTCATGGAGTCTGTTTCTGACCATTTGAGCAGCCATATGCACATTTGTGGCCCTCTGGAGGTCATTTTGCAGGGCTCTGGCATTGCTCCTCCTGTCCCTCCTTGCACAATGGCAGAGGTAGCGGTCCTGATACTGAGTTGTTGCCTTCCTACAGTCTCCTCCACGTCTCCTGATGTACTGGCCTGTCTCTTGGTAGTGCCTCCATGCTCTGGACACTACACTAACAGACACAGCAAACCTTCTTGCCACAGCTCACATTGATGTGCCATCCTGGATGAGCTGCACTACCTGAGCCACTTGTGTGGGTTGTAGACTCCGTCTCATGCTACCACTAGAGTGAAAGCACTGCCAGCATTCAAAAGTGACCAAACCATCACCCAGAAAGCATAGGAACTGAGAAGTGGTCTGTGGTCACCACCAGTCGAACCACTCCTTTATTGGGGATGTCTTGCTAACTGCCTATGCTTTCCACCTGTTGTCTATTCCATTTGCACAACAGCATGTGAAATTGATTGTCAATCAGTGTTGCTACCAAAGTGGACAGTTTGATTTCACAGAAGTGTGACTGACTTGGAGTTACACTGTGTTGTTTAAGTGTTCCCTTTATTTTTTTGAGCAGTGTAGTGTCTCATTATGCTCTCTAAAATAAAAGCGAAGACTTTCTAAGTCAAGTTCAATTGTTGGCTGACTATAGAGACATATCTATGTCTATTATCCTATAAACAATACAGAAGTAGTTTGGCATTGCTTTCTTCTGGTGTTTTTTTTCTTTTTTGAATGGTATCTAATATTAACTAGAATCTTACTGGTTAGATTCTTAGATTTTTCAACTACGATAATTAAAAATGGGATAGCTTGCTTTACCTCAAGCATTCAGGCAGTGAAAAATATCCTATACTATAATATACGCTGTATTATTTTGTCAGCAATGAATATTAACAGTCCTAAAGAAAATGCACTCCGAACCATAAGAGAATCAAAGGTACAAAACAACAACTGTATATTTTACTTCCGTGCTGTCTGTGTTTAATATTTATTGGGGCTCCAATTTCTAATCCCACATTTAGAGATTCTTATGACCTAATAATTCAATCTTGTTAATCTATTAGTAGTAGTTTCCTAAAAATGATCTATTTACATAATTGCATCAATTTCTTATCAGAACAATAGACAGGTAAATGGAAATTATGGATGATAAAATTAAAGCTGCAAGACCTGTATTAGGCAGTAGATCAATTAAAAAAATATATTGCCAGCAACTTAATTAGTGAAAGTATTTTGGCAATAAGATGTGGTCCGCACAAAAATATTTACTGAAATAAAATACACTTATGACCAGGTATATGCAACATTTTGGAATGTGTATAGGCATGCACACAGCATTAGTTTGGTCCCCTTAAAATTAACTGCAACTTTTCCTGAGCTCACTGGATAGCCCCTCAATCTTAGAAAAATACATATTTGAGTTAAGGAACATACCCTTGTTTTTCAAACCTCTACCTGCATCTTGTAAGAGTGTTCTTAGCTTACATATGCATTTCTGAGATAAGAAACATACCCTGTCTTTCAAACTTCTACCTGAATCTTAGCTTACATATGCATTTTGCTATATTGGTGAAGCTACCTTACAAGTCCAGGAAAAGATGCAACTTCTTCAAAGAGGTACTTATAGGTATAGCATGCACAACATGTGCAATTCTGTAAAATTCCACAATACTGTTGTTTATGTTACCTACATTTACTTAAACGTGTGGCTGAAATCATCAGTCATTCTGTAAGCCACCTATCATATGTTTTCAGAATTCCAATTTTGCTGAAAAAACCCCACTTGTTTTATGATACAGTGGATCATATAATTTTTAAATGTTTAATTTTCAAACTATTTTGAGACTGTTCCCAGGAGTTAACAATCATTTCACTAAACATTTATCCGTTTTAAAGAACATAAAAACATGTTTGAATTTTATATCCTGTACAGGATCACAAATTCTCTTTGTATAATCAAAACTTTGAAAACGCTTTTTTGTACAATAATATATGAAGTATTTTTTCAAGATACAAAAGAGCAAATTGGTTGCTTTACCAAAAGTGCAAGCTTATTAGGATATACTAGGATCAATAGCAGCCTAAAATATGGATGTTTTATTATACTGATTAAATTATACACTGCCCAGAGCCCTATGTGAGGGAGATGAATAGGTAAGAAGCTTGACTGATAAACAAACACAAATAAATCTATTTTTTTCATAGTGAAATCTTGATATCACTAGAACTAAAATCTCATATACCTACCTGGGTTAATTTAAAATGATTTTTAAAAACTAACTTTTTTTTGGATATTCAAGTCCTGTGGCTTTCAATATTAGCAAGATAGTTCAGATGTCAATATTATTACAATATTTATACAAAATGAAATGTCACCATTAGCCAAACTGTTTACGTAAAAAAGAACGAAAATCAGAGGCTACTTAAGCCATGCCTAAGAAAAAGCATGTTTTTCAAGCCTCAGAATTAAAAGTTTAGAGGGACAATCTTGAAGGTGAGTGAGATCATCCCAATCAGCATCTTTCTTAGTTTTTGTACCTCCATTTATTTAATTCCATCCTTATTCAACGTAAAACATTTATTTGCACCTGCAAAATGGGTGCTGTAATGCAGATTATATTCAGGAGAGAGAAAATAGTGGGGGAGGGGGATTAGGAAGGAAAATCAATGTTTGAAGCCTTCCAATTGGATCTGGAAAAATATTCAATTTTTGGATAATAAACGAATTAAAATTACTTCCTTAATGCTCTTATCATCTATAGCCAGGAAAATATGAACTAACTGCTTTCATATATATCTTGTCCAAATATTGTCACAGTGGAAATTAAATAAAATCTGGCATACACAATCTTTATTGACTTACATTCTTTCCTTTTTCTTGAAGTAGCTTCAGGTTCTCTCTACACTGTTTAAGTTCATCCGTGACTGATTGCTTTTCCTGCTCAGTAATTTCAAATTTTAACCTCAGCTCTGAAAGCATGGTCTGTGTCTTTTCGTACTAAAGGAAATAAAAAGAGCAAAAGCAAAAATAACTTTTGGATAATTTTTTAATTCTTTAAAAAATTATTACTCTCTATTATAAGGATTTGGAATATGAATTTAAATGTTCACATGCTTTATACAAACTTAAGGGACTGATACATCTAATATTAGTAGGAGAACTACAAATCTTCCTAGGAAATAGCAAAAGAAACTCAGCTTCTATGGTTTCTCCAGTGATGCCGTCTTAAGCTCAGAATCAGATTAAACTATATCATTACTAAAGCAAAAATGTAGAAGGTTTAGATTTAAATATAGAACGTCAAATAGAAATGGATGCTTTTTCTCTTAATAGAATTGAAATTACCAAATTTTAGTGCCTAGTTTCATATATCACAGTTCCCAAATTTAGGAGAGCCTTAACTTTACCTTAATTTAATGCTCTCCTCATAGTTATCCTAGAAGGAAAATGTAGGAAAACTCCATATGAATCCCGTTAATGCCCTTGTGATATGCAAGCCATTCTGATAATTTTTTATCTGCACTATCTGTTAAACAATGAACAAAATTTTATTTCTCTAAAACTAGCAAAAGTTTTGCTACATTGTTAGGGATAATTTTGTTGAATGTACTTTTATTGGTCAATGCCTGAAATAAATTTTCTGTCACGTTTTACAGGTAAGTATATGTTAGAAGAAGAGTCCAGATAAAGGCAAATTTAAGAATGCATGCTCAATAATAGCCTTTAGGAAGAGAACTGATTTGCCAGTGAATAAGAACTATTGTCCTGTTTTTAGAGTTGCTGTGAGTTGGAAAGCATATAAATTATGTTATTGTTAATATGACAAAAGACAATAAAAGCATTTCTTTGACCAGAACTATGTCTTACATTTTTTTCAATCAAGTGATAAAAAGTGATGACATCACTCATTAACTGTTAGAAAAGCGAGAATACAGACCAGAGATTTGCCATGGATTAATTTCTCAAATAAAACTGATCACTTAAATATACCTCATGTGAATATATTACTATAATTCTACTAACTGACCAGATCTATAATTTGATCTATAATTTATCTAACTGACCAGAACCGTTATCTATAAATTAACTGTTCAGAACTACAAACCTTAATTTCAAATTTGATTGTTTATTTTTAAGATAACCCAATAAGAAAAAATTCAGTAATATTAATTGAATCGCTTTAAAATACAGATCTTGCCAAAAGCATCCATTCAAGATCCGCAAAGCTAATTAAGTGTCTGAAAGAATTACTATTATTTCTATCTATATATATATTCTTTACAGGCATACTACCAACTGAACATACAAAATATTTTTAAAAATCAACTTGATTAGAATATTAATACATTATATGCTGCCCATCTCCTTTTCCAAAGTATTTCTGGGTAGTTAATGATATTATTACAACCCTGCACCAATGTGCTAGTTTAGGTTCTCTTGACACTGCTATAATTTGGATGGGAAGTTTTGTTGATTTCGATAAAGTATATTACGAAGTTAAAAGGACTGAATTACAGAATGTTTTGCACAAATGGAAAGTTGAGTTTCTGAAAGAATTAAGACCAGTATATGATAAAAGTAAAACACATTTAAGAATATATTAAATACTTAGTGAAGCAAAAGTGACCATGAATATGTGATTCCACCTTAGTTGTTTAATATATTTAATGCAGACACCCATGCTTTATGTCTAACCTTTTTATATAAAATAGAATGGTATTATTTTTGAAAGGGTGCATAGTTTACTGCCCTGAATAACCCAGGCACTAGCTATATTCCTGTTTAATAAAATGAGCAATTCTGTTTAACTGAATATTGAAACAAAAGTTTCAAATCTCTTGCTCAAAGAAGTACTGGGAGGGGAGAAGAGAGAGAAGTCTGATACCCATTTAATTTCATTCCAATTTATCCAATAAAAGGGCCAATGTTAGGAGAACAAAATAGTCTCCTAATTCTAGGCCTCTTTAAAGAAATGCAAACATCCATGCATGTTTGAAGCGTACCTCATTCTGAGCATCCTTAGCTTGATTTTCTGCCTCATTAAGAAGTGTTTTTAGAGTAGTTGCATCACGTTGATGTTCTTCTTTTAAAGAACCCATTTTATTTTCAAGTTCCTTTCGGCTTACTTCCAGAACACTCAGATCACTGTTAAGTGCTAAACTCTGTTGCTGAGAGCTATAAAAGGAAGTAAAAAAAATCACAATATTTCATATTTTTCCAGAGGGTTTTAAATTAATGCATTGTGAATGTATGCTCTTTGTTATTCTATTGCATATCCTTATAATTAAAGTTCTGATGGACAGGCTACTGTGTTCATGTATTGGATTGCAGCAACAGCATAAGCAAGTATTTTCCAAGCAGCTTATATCCAAAACCCAACCAAGCAGATCCCAACATTTAAAGTCTAAAGTTTATAAAGTTCATTTGTTGTTAACAATAAAGGCAAAAATAACCTTAGCTTAAAATGTCAATTATATTGGAAGAAAACATAAGGAAAATGAGTGAGCCTGAGAGGCTTATTTTCATAATATTAAGTAAAGCAAAGCTTATATAAAATGATGTGAATGATATGGGTACCATCTATGTATTTCCCAACATAGAAGGCTTATTGTTCCTACATAATATACTTTTTATTAGCTCATTGAGGTGGATGAGTAGGAAGAGAATTGTAGCTAAAACAGCTCAATTGAATAAGAGGAAAGATTTAGAGGAATTGTAGCATTCTCAAGAAATAGAAATAAAACTATAAGAACTCACCCCTAACACAGGACACATTGTTTTAAATCTAACACCTTTGGCCTTTTCCCATTTGATTCAGTGGCACTTACTTATGCAGCTCCTTCTCCTGTTGCTGAAGTTCACATGCAAGCACAGAATTCTCCTTCTTTAATGAGAGACATTCAGATTCAAGAATAGCCCACTTTTTTCTTAACTTTTCAAGCTCACCTACAAAGCAAAGAGTGCTATAATATTCTTCAAGCTATCTAATAAATAATTATTTTAAAAAAATTATTATTGCCAATTATATCTGAATGTACATGCCTGGGATTAAAAACTGTTTTTTTCACTATGACACATCAGTATTTTGTGGGGTACGCTTTTTTTAAACAAAACAACTTTAAATTAATAATGTGTAAAACCCACTGATTTGGCAATGAACATTCTGGACAATTCTGGAACTTTGTTTCTCCTTTGGATCTGGAGGCTTAGCAATTTCCAGAATTAAATCCTAAAAATGAACAATGGTTCCAGATATTTCATGGGTAATTCAGCCCAAAATAGGTCTATTTTGTCCAGAACGTCATATCCAAAACATATCAAATGGCTTCTTTTCCAAAGAATTTGTTTCCAGAAGCCACCAAACTACTTTCAGAACAACATTGGTCCAGAATAGTTCTGGCATACTTCTAAGGAATAATCTGGAGAATTAGTAAATTTTCCACACAGTCTGAAGAAGCACCAGTACATTTTTTAATTAATCACTGCTTGTTCTTCCATAATATCAATCTGAACTGAATGATTTTATTCAAAAAAGGGCATGAAAAGATCCTGACAGTCTTACAATGTAATAATCTTTAGAATTTCATCAATAATTTGACTGAAATAATGAACTTTTGGAAAACACCATCATAATACAATGAACAGATCATTTGAAAACTAGAATTAAAAACTTTTTCTATTGTTCTATAACTTTAAATGAGATTATTAAAATGTACAATATTTTATTTGTTTTGGTTCAGATACTTTTATGGAATGGCTATACTTCTGACTCTGGCCTACCAAAATGCACTAGAAATTTTAATTTTGGACCGAGTTTCCTTTCCAAAACTTGTGATTTGCTTTAAAGTTCATCAAGCCCACTACTGTTTTTATGATGATGTAACTAAAATTCAAATATTTATTTACTCTATCTCAATTTCTGTAATTAACCTAATTTTTGTTAATGAAAAAACAATGTAACCCCAAAATCCACTTTTATATAAATTATTGTTAAGACAGTTGTGTATACCTTGCAAATGAGTGGCTTCCTCTCTCTGCTGATTCTCATACTGCTGACATCGTAGCTGAAAACTGGCTTGCAGACTGACAATTTCTTTTTCATATTTGGAAGCCTCTTTGCGCCATTGTTCAAGCTCCGCTCTTACTTTTTGAAGCTCCTCTTTTAAAACAGTGACATCTGTGTCCCTTTCTGATGCGGCCTTTTCTGCCACGTCTTGCAACAACAGGATCTCATTCTGAGCAGTCAACAATTCATTCCGTGTACTGGAAATCACATTTTCCTTTTCTTCATGAAGACGTTCAATATCCTTTTGTAATCGATGCAACTGAGCTATAAACGTTTATTAGAAATTATTAATATCATATTATTATTATATTATTCAAATATAACTGTAAAATATTTTTATGAAAGTAATACTACTGTGTAAGATGAAAAAATGTTCACATTACATTACGATATTGTAGCATAAATTTTACAAAAGTTTATGAGTCCCTCATTGCTATATTTGAAATATTTAGACAAAATTTCAAAAATATCAATATAGGAGGCACTTTTTGAGTTGATTTTTGAGGTTTACTATCACGTTAAATGTATACATTTATCACAACACTCCTCTAAATTTAGATCTGCTTCTTGGAAGCTATTTTATTATACAAATATACTCCTAGACAATATAGGCAAAAAGGAAATTAATCTAGCTTCTCAAAATTCTGATAAATGGCAAGAAATAATAAGAAAGCACTGGAAAGACAGTATGGTTGGTAAGTTGGCTCGAATACGTATAGTATAACCTTGCCCTGCACTTCAAGAAAGCCATAGCAGCTGTTGCAAACCTTCCTTCTTTTATAGCTATGTTTATTTATTTAAATAGTACTTTTGTTTGCTCCTACAGCAACCAATCTCCTGCAGTTTATCTGTAATTATTAAAGTAAATGAGCAGCTGCTACTTAAGGAGAGCAAAATCATATATTTGTAATTTATTTCATTGTTCTTAAATTACAATCTATTGAGAATAAGGAGTCTCAAGGCAGTTTTGTATTTTATTTTTTCTTGTTATAAAATGTATTGATAAAAATGGATATAACTATGAAAGACAGGAACAATAGTAGTCCTACTTATTTTTTCTCTCATTCGGAGGGCAAAGTAAGGTAATAATGAAACTCTACATAAAGTCTTCCCAAAGTTTACTAACTGTAAATAGGAATATTACAAACCTAATTAAAAGAGAAAGTTTAAGTGTTCACTTCAGCAGGCCTCATTTTTAAATAAGAATTATAGTAAGAAAAATGTACATTCAACATTATTTTGATAACATCGTATCTAAAAGGGCCTTAGACAATTATGAAAATGAAAAATTTTGAACAAGACCAGAAACCTAACAATGTTCTTATAGAGCAATATTTTTTTAAAGATTAATCAGTTTCATATTTACTCTTAAATGGTCTAAGAGTGAAAAGTGCAAAACAAAATAAACCAGAAACCTATTAAGAAAAATAGCTTAAATGGACTTTAGTGTCATCTAACAGAAGTCAATCAACTATTTATAATGACTTTCTCCTAGTATGCAATAAAAGTTAATATCAAGCTTTGTCTTGGACAATGTCTGAGGAAATTATGGCTAATCTCAAAACAATGTCAATGTCACTATGCAGGGTGAGTATGATTCCTCCTCTGAAATTCCCTATCAGATATAAGAACTGTATCCTCTGTTGTAGTACTGTATTCAGAAAGTTTTTAGAAACACAGATTTTTAAATGTGCTCTTTAGGACTGAAGTATGAATGAGAGAGATACCCGAGTTAGCTTGTATCTGGCTGCTTGGTTTGAAATGATGCAATACATCATAAATATTCTTTGTTTTACTGTAAACCACTTAAGTTATGTGACTAAACTGCCACGGAAGCATTTGCAATAAATAATCACATAATATGGACTAATAAATATCACGCACAACTAACATCGATAAGGCAGATTTTTAGAGTGTCTCTCCAATAATCACACATTCATTTAAATAATCTTTAAAAAGTAATCCTGTTCATTTAAATATTTATTCATTTATTTATTTTGTTATCCATCTCACAACATTTTTATGTCCTGTCACAGACAGTAGTTAACTTTATAAACCATTTTAACAGACATTTCATTCTACATAAAGAATTTTGTATGGAAAATTATTACAGTTTCTGTTCTTTTCAATGACAACATATGCATTTTTCTATTATATTTCTGAAGATTCTTTTTTTTTTACCTTGGAGAACTTGGATTTGTTTGGTGGATTCTTCAACTTGCAATCGATATGCTTTTCTCTCTTCTTCCAACAGAGCTGTAGGTATTATAAAAATACTCAACATACCAATTTATTATGACTTTCATTATCAATTTTACAGTATATATTAGGCATTAGTTTTTAAAAAGATTACTTTGTTTAGTATGTCATTAAAATTTTGGCATAACCAATGTAAGTAAATTACCATATTTAAATTATTACTGTGCTAGTTAATAAACTTTGTCTAAAATTGTTTAAAATATCATGCACTTTTTAATACATTCATGATACCATTTTACTTTGAAGAAAAATTGACTAAAGGAAAATGACTGATTTCATTTTAATTGCTTAAGCTAAATAGTTATTTATTAAATTGCTAAGCTAAATATTTATTGAAAACTTAAATCAAAAGATACTACTATACATGTCTATTCTGAATTAAGTTCTGCTAAGTTCTTATTCCCAATTAAATGCTGATAAAATAGCAGCCTTTCCCCCCTCGGCTAAAAGTATGGTATAATCATATACCGGGCATCTAGATTAAAAAGGTACAGATCGCAGACTTAAATGCCCTCTTCAATCACTGTTTTGGGGTATAATGTTTTCCTGGGAATTCTACATCTCAAAGAACTCTTCATCTCACCTTGCAATTCAAAGCATTTTTGTTTACTGGTCCTAGCTAGCTCTTGGGCTTCAATCAGTTCATGGTGCAGCTGCTGAATTTCCTGTTTAGTCTCTGTTTCTGATTGTGCGCCCTGCAATTCATCTGCTAAAAAAACATTTTTCTTTAAAGCATTATTTTTGTCAGTAGCTTAATTTCTATTACTTTGTGAAGTAATAGGAATCAGATAAAATTAGTTAACTATACATTATGAATTAGGGAACGGTTAGGAGACAAATAAGACAAGTATCTACCATGTTTCTCATAAAATAAGGCCGGCTCTTATATTTTTTTGAGCCGCGAAAAAAAAGACTAGGCCGTCTTTTCGGGGGTGACTTAATTCCCCCCCCTTGCATCCTCATCTAAAGCGCCCCGTGGGCAGCGCCACCAGCCGCTCCTAACGGGTGATCATGGGGAAGCACAGAGAGTTCCCTACTCCCACCAAACACCTTTGCTGCAGACCCAAGACCTTTGGCACCCGCCGCTGTTGCTTTCCCTTCTGCCCATTCCGCCGCCACGTTTGGAGCTGCCGCTTCCATGTTTGGAGTGCCGCTGCCATTTGGAGTGCCGCCGCCATTTGCAGCACTGCTGCCATGTTTGGAGCTGCCACTTCCTGTTTGGAGTGCCGCTGCCATTTGGAGCACCGCCATCATGTTTGGAGCTGCCACTTCCGCCGTGTTTGGAGCAGCGGCGGCGCTCCAAATGGCGGTGGTGCTCCAAACAGTGGCAGTGCTCCAAACACGGAAGCAGCAGCTCCAAACTCAGTGGCAGCTCCAAATGCGGACATGGAAACTCCAAACAGCGGCAGTGCTCCAAACAGCGGTGGGGTTCCAAACGCGGAAGCAGCAGCTCCAAACGCGGCGGCAGCTCCAAACAGCAGCAGTGCTCCAAACAGCGGCAGTGCTCCAAACGTGGAAGCGGCAGCTCCAAACGGCAGTGGTGCTCCAAACATGGAAGTGGCAGCTCCAAACGCGGAGGTGGCATGGGCAGAGGGGAAATCAACAGCGGCGGGTGCTGAAGGTCTTGGGTCTGCCGCAAAGGTGCTTGGCAGGAGTAGGGAGCTCTCCACGCTCTGCCATGATCGCCCATTAGGAGCAGCTGGTGGCGAGGAATTGCTGCCCACGGGGCACTCCTAATGGCAAGTCCCCCCGCCCTTCCCACCATTTTGCTAGTTTTAAAATAGGCCTAAATTTGGGGGGAGGGGCTTAATTTCATTTTATGCCTAGAAAACATGCTGGGTCTTCCTATTGGGGGAGGTCATATCGTTGGAGAAACACGGTATATACCCAAGCCATGCAAGAAGTTGTAAAATATACATTGACAGAAACAGGTTGCTAATTCTAACCTTAGCAGCCTTAAGATTTTAAATAAGTTTTCATACATATATTTAAAAATATTTCTAGTACCCTGATATTTCATTTCAGACTTTGTCATAGTTTATTATTCAAGAATGAAATACAGATTTATTGCTTTTAAAGGGGCAAAAAAGACTTTGGACTGAAAGCTATCATTTTTCACACAGCAATCTTCATTTATGAGAGGTGAGAATAACAAAGCCTACTGCCCTAAGGACTCAATATATTAAAAAAAAATAATGCTTCATGCCCAAATTAAAATTAGAGGATAAGGTGCACTGAAATTTATTTGTTTTGTTTTGGATTCTACCTATATTTCATATATAGATAAAGTATCAGTTTGTGCTTTAGCAACAATCATCAAAAGCAAATTACAGATAAAATTAAATTTTCAATCCATGTTTCCAACTAATATTAATTCCAATATTAAATTATTTGCTAATTGAAATATATCAAATATTAAGAAAATAATGATTTACCTTTTAAGAGAGCAACTTTAGCAATAGGTTCATTTAATTCATGATCATCCATCTGAGCATCTAAAAATGTGAAATTATTTTAGAATTTAGAATAAATGTGAATTTATTTTTAGAATTTAGAATTTTAAATCAATTAGAAACTCAGCATAGGGCAAAAATATAAAAATTCACCTGGATTAGAAAATTAAGAAGCTGTTTTAAATGACTTTTTCAAATTTTGCTTTTTCAAAAAAGTCTTATTACAAATTGTCACTGTAATGCAAGTTCACTGAAAGATATGCCCCAACCATACCTGTAGTGTCGTCACTGCTTTTCTCTTTGCTTGGGCTCAAAGTATCTGAAAGCTCAGCTTCTTTAGCTTTTGCCTGATTTTCTGTAAAATATAAACACTAATGCCATTCAAATAAATGTGTAATTATATACATACTGTACTTCCAGCATAAATTATAACAAGTAGATTAAATTCCTGTTCAAACTGGATTAAATGTTTTCAAAACATACATTTAATATTAAACTAGCCCATGCAGGATGAAGTTGGTTCATTCGCTGCTTAGCCTTGTGTCTGAAACTTGTATTTTGGCCAGCTGAAACCCACTGAGAAATTAGTTGTTTTGTTTACTAATTCTGAGTATAAATCAAGAAAGTAGGACAAAGAAAGGGGATTTTAAAACAGTGTCTATATTGTAACTTGAAAAGAAAAGAGCTACAATTAGGAATAAATGCTGCTTTGTAGCACTTAAGTGGATAAAGTAACAATAAGTTGATGCATTACGTATAATACCATGTTTCAAATAACATGGCAATTAAAATGAAATGCTTTAAAAAGACACTGATAGGAAATATATTCTTTCTCCATTAGTTTATTGGTGAGCCATTAACTATATCCTCTGATTCATCTACGAGTTTTGTATAGTGAGCTTTAAAGTTTAAAGAAATTACAATTGACCAAAATTGACATCAGTAAAGAGAAAGGGAATTTGATTAGGAAAATATTTAATGTTCCATAATGGTGTTCAGCAAACTTATTTTTTCTTAAAATGAATTCTATCACAAAAGCTTCACATTAATTATATGCCATGTTGAAACAACAAGACAGAATCAAATAGAAGTGAAGTGTCTACTAACATAATTAAACAGAAAGCATTCAAAATCTAACTTCACTACATTATTTTTGCAGAGAATAGCTATAATCTGCCATTTACAGAATAATTCATTTTAGGGATAATGGATAACTTATCAAAATAGCTCTTCTTTTCCAATTTTTTTCATAGCTACAAATATTTTCCCCTGAAAATCCTTTACTGTATTAGAAGCTCCCCAATATATTTATTAGATTTTTATCATGCCTTTTGTATAGGAGCCCAAGAAATTGTACCTGGTACTGCCTTCTCCCATGTCTGAAATGGCTTGGATTGAGAGGGAAACTCAAAGACCAGTGAGCTTTTGAGATAGGATTAGAACCTGGGTTTTTCTCTTCCCAAGTGAAACACCTATATCTGTCCCCTCCAAAACACATATCAAAATTTCAAAAATGCACATACTGACATTAAAGATAGAACTGGCAGAAAACCGATGAATACCGAAGAGAATTATTTTGACAAGATCTGGCAAAACATGGTAATTTGCAAAGATTACACATTCACTGTATGAGTCCTACAGTCATACAGAAAGAAATCTTTTTATGGCAGCTAGAAAATTAATGGCCATGCTCACAAAACAAACTATTTAAAATATTTAGCTGTAAATAATGTGAAATATCGCTTCTCTAGTATTGAGCATATGAATTCTTTTAAGCAATCCTTAACTTTAATTTAAAGCCAAGTATTTTCTAATTTCTAACTAGCACTTTTAAAATTCTGAATAGCTTGCACTCTGTTCTGGAAAATATAAATGATTTTTTCCCCATGCTAACTGCTGTGGGCTCATAAACCTTCCTCTTGGTTCCTTTACTTTTAAAATTAATTGGACAATTGCTACCAAGAATTTTTTATTATGACACTATCATTGTTTAAATTCTTCCTTTGCACTTGCTTGGCTACCTTTCAAATATTAACCCATCTTCCCTTTATATTTTAATAGTTTTCAAAAAGGCCCAATATGCAACATTACTGTTTCTCATTTATCTGGTGTTTTAAATTGCTTTTACTATGTTTTTTTTCCAAATTGTGCTTATTTACTTTGTTTTGTTTGGGGACTATAAACAACCTTAGGTTTTTTAACACAATAAATTGTAATTAAAATAGGGGTAGGACCTAACACTCTTAAATACCATTATTGTATGAAGTTATTTTACTGCAAACAAGTTCAAAATAACCAAAAATGCTTGCTTTCCCACTAATTTGAAAATACTAATTTAAATGTGTTACATGTAGTTGGGTAACTGATGCTTCCTTATATGGAAATAAAAGGAACAACTGGTCTCTCAGTATACACTAGTGATGAGTCATTTAAGTCAAAGGCATGAAAAACAGTGAATCACACAACTCTAATTTTCTTTCACATTTTCAAAATCCCTTTCTAATCTTCATTTATAGGATTTACAATCCTGATCACATGATTTTTTGTAGCCAGCAATACACACAGTAGTAAATATGTTAAAAAGCTAATTATACTTATTTAGATTATTTGAATTCTGCATTGTTAACCTAGTACAGATTTAGGATTCAATTTTCAAAATTTTGAGCTTGATTCTAGATTTCAGTTACAACCTACAAAATGTTTTATAGGACATTGAAGTCTATACAAGCTCAAATAAAGAGTCAAGAATGAACCCAAAAATTTAATAAATGCTAGAACACTATCCCTTGATAAACCATATCAATGTGATAACTATAACGAATATAAGATGATTCTGTCCTAAATTCAATTATCAATATTAAACTTAAGAGAATAGCAATCTCTCTTACAAGGTCAGTTTGTCCACTGTCCACCACTTATCTTCAAGGTTTTGAATAAAGAAATTTCTCATCACTCATAATTTTCTAATTTCTTTTTCAGGAAAGAGATCTGACATCTAATGTATTTATATTTTAAAATAAGTTTTGCCTACTAATCTAAAAGCAATTTCTTTTAAATTTCATATATTTATTAGTTATAATGTAATAAATGATAGATATAATTTAATATCTATCAAGAATTATGTTCATAATATACAGTACTTTTATAATATTATTTTCTCTAGGACAGTCTTATAAACTATAGGATACAATAAAAATTTAATAATTTCATTACTGAATTATTTTCAGAGTAGAATACATTACATATTAATGCAAAATAGTTCAACATTCTGCAAGATAATACTAGCATGCAAGCATTAAATTACACTTGTATTTATTGTCTGCATTCTTTTCCAAATATGGCATGCTCCCTGCACTTTGCAAAAAAATAGGAGAGCAGATGCCGGCAGGATCTGAACTATGATTTTCTAGAATTGATACGCAATAAATCTGACAAAATAAAAAAAAATGGAATATTTAATTCATAACAAGCTAATATTCAATCACTGATATTTACTGAATAGACATGAGAATATTATATAATTCACTACAATGTGTAATAGGCAAGTGTTTTAAACTAGATTAATTCTATATTGCAAACATTAAATTAAAAAAATAACCCAAAGCAAAAAAATGCCTGCTTCAAACTTTTCTCAAATCTAAAGTTCACATTTTAAAATATATTTATTTGGAACCCTCTTATGCAATAAGTAATTTAATATTTTGTCTATCATAATTCTTAAAATATGTCTCCCTGACATGTAATGTCCAATGTCTAGGTCTGAAGATAAAATATATATTTCAAAACAAAAATATTGTAATAAGTCTGACCTTTCAGTATCTTTGTTTCATCCGTTCGAGAAAGATGTCCTTCATCCATGAGCTTGTCTGCTGAACAAAATAGGGATTACTATCGAAGCTCAAATTCTTTGCATGTGTCTCTAATCTACATTCCATGCCCAAATTTAAACACAGCAGTATTACCTCATACTTTCCTGAACAAGAATTAAAGGACTTTTCCAGTTGAATAAAAGAATTATAAAAATAGTATTAATTATCTACTCATAAGTAAATATTAAAACTCTGAACTGAAGCACAAAAATATAGATTCATTTGTGTTGGAAAAAGACATCGAGGCCATCAAGTATTATCCAGTTCAGAGAATTAAAGAATCTCTAACAGACAGCTGTCAGAATCCTGCAACATGATAGAAGGATTACTAGCTCAGCATTCTGTTTCTATCATATCACACCACTTTAAAAAAATCTCCTAAGAACGAAACATAAAAAGGACCTTTTCATTTGTAGAATTCTGTATTTGGCTTAAAAGCATACTGTCTGTAAGAATAAAGGAAATTTAGAGCTATCAGGACTAATAGACACTGAAAGCATTCTGATCCATGATTTTGCTGATATTTTATCAAAAGGAATTGAAGCAAGACATCTAAACTTTTTAATAAATTTCAGAACAGAAATTTCAGAACAATTCCTATGGAGTCCCCCATCCCCATGAAATGCTCATGCATGTACATATTAGTTGATTTCACTTATGGAATTTTATCTAAAGATTTTAGATGTTAGTACAAAAATATGGTAACATACAACATAGTGAACATAGGTCATATTTCTTTATTAGAAATACTAATTAACTGATAGTCAATTCTTGACACTAAGAATACAGAAGTAAAGATAAATAATTTTGAAGAGGAAGATGTAAGAGGTAGTACAGATCCTCCATAGATAAATATCCATTTTATTTGCCTAGCCCTTTATATGTCACTGATTATATTCCTATTCCAGTGTTGGAATATATAGCATTCCAGCTATTATCTCAAATAACTGAAGGGAGAAAGTATATTTATGTCCTTTTCTAATAAATTGACTGCAGACAATAGGGTAGTTTCTTGATTGTTTGGAATAATGATTCCTAAAAAGGCTTGTAGATGGCACTCCTAAATGTAGGAGTGTGGTAGCCTTCTTTATTTACACAGTCAGGAAAGCACTACACAAAAGTAGACAAAAAAGTCAGATCAAGAGACAAAAAAGAAAGTATCAGTGGAAAGAACAAAGACAGAAAATGAATCAGAAAAGAACAAGATATAACCATTTGTAGCATAAGACAATGAGGCAGAAAAAAGCCACATTTTGTAGTGTGTTGAAGGAACAAGCAGAAAAAGAAAATGATAAAGTGCGAGAAGTTATGGAAATAATTTTGAAAATGTACAAATACTAATGCTCATTGTCAAATTAAATATAATCAGACCACCAAATAACTGAAACACCATAACAAAATTTCCATATTAATTTGCTCAACAAAACAAATTCATTTATTTATGTTAAAGTCTACTGAAGAGTAATTAAATCATATAAATGTGAAATGCAAATGCAAATAAGATTTTAAATTTTAAATTAAGCAATTCTATGTATAGTTTTGCTGAATGATAATAATAAAAGTTTACAGCTATAAATGGATGGCATAAATGCCAATGATTTTGCACAAAACTTCTTTTGAAATGTTCTGGTAGAGGTTTTTTGTATTTCAAAGAGATGCCCTTCTCTCTTGCATTCTAAAAGGTGTGTTCCTGTTCGTTTTACAATGACTGCAATGGTCTATGGAGCACATGTAGTAGGACTGAAAAATCGATTCAATGAATACAGGTGACCACTCAAAGAGCCATAATTACCAAAAAGATAGTTCAAAATCTGAAATATGAACAGGGAAAAAAGAATAAAACCACAGAAATCAGTAATTCGAGTCAGGTTTACAGAATGGACTGTAAATAATATGATTGGTGGTATCTATCAAAAATTCAGCTCTAGAACTTTTTCAATAAGGGTTTATACCCGTGTTGGCGAACCTATGCCACGCGTGCTGGAAGTGGTATGCAGAGCCATTTCCTCGGCACACGTGAGGTTGCCTGGAAGAGCCCCAGTGCGCATGCATGCACCACCGCCCGACAGCCGGTTGACGAGTATCTGGTGTGTGTGCGCAGGGGGTGGAGGGGGATGCATGGGAGACATGTGCGCATGTGCAGGGATGCGCTGCATGCAAAGGGATTGCATGCGCAAAGATGTGTGGCACATGAAGGGGGAACCGTACGTGCATGCGCAGATGCACAAGGGAGAATCGCACATGCATGTGCAAAGATGTGTGGCGCAGACACACTGCGCACAAGGGGGGGTCGCATACGCATGCACAGGGGGGGGCAGCACAAATTGCATTCTGGGTGCTGGCTTGCAAGTGCACGAAAGCAAGTGCGTGCACAATTATCAGCACGGGAGCTGAAAAAGGTTAGCCACCACTGGTCTATATAAATGCAAATGTGATGCTCAAAGTCATATGTGATGCACAAAGACCATGAAAATACATTCAAAATAAACAAAACTATTTCAAGGTTTTATGATAAACAGATGAAGAAAGAACAGGCTATATTTCAACATGTAAGTGTAGTTACTGAAATAAACACAGGTCAAACTTGATACTTATGCTCAATCATAAAGAATTTGAATATATTACTTTATGACTTAGGTAAAACAATTCTTCCCCAATCCTAAGGGGTTTTCTTCTAAATTTTGGGACAGTGTATTACCATTTCAAGAATAGACCACAAAGGACCTCTGATATATAGCAGAATAACAGGTAGTGAATGTGTAATATGCCTTTCCTGGGGGGCCGCGGTGGCTCACGGGGTAAGATGCTGGGCATGTGCACTGCTGAGGTCGATGGCTCGATTCCCGTGAGCGAATAAACCATGTAGGGACAAGAAAGGAGCCCCGCCCCGATTGCCTACTGGCATTCAGGCGTCCTGCGGGTAAAAATAACACCTCCCAAAAATATTCCTTTCACAGAGGCAGCCAGCCACCTCGGTGATTCCTGGCTAACATGTGCCATTAAAAAAAAAATGCCTTTTCTGAATATTAATGCAACTATGATTGAATAATGTCCCCATGTACTTCTCAACTGTGTTTTTAGATGTATAAAATTATATCATTCTTACTAGCAGCAAAGGTTCATAGTTCCTAGAGATTAGAAACTGGTTTTAATTTTAAATATAAATGTACAATCACACAGAACTAAATTTCTGGGAGGCAACAAAAATATCACAATTTCTAATTTAGCTAGCCTAGTTCATTTTTTCTTCCACAAAGTTATTTTAATTGTCTTTTTATAATTATTTATTTGTAATCAAATTATTTCATTATTATTAACTGGCAGCATCTAGAAATTAGAGCTATGCAGAGTATTCCAAAAAGCTGCATTGTAAAGTACATCAATATAGCCTTGAACTGTGAAATCAGCCATGTCTTTTGGAAAGCCCAAGCAATTGCTTTGAAGGGATCCCCATAGTTCTATTGGGGCTCTCAGTTTTTAAAGGGAAACCACTGTGCATACACATTACAGGTAGTCCTCAACTTATAGTTCATTTAGTGACCGTTTGAAGTTATGTCCCTGAAAAAAAATTACTTATGACAATTTTTCACACTTACAACCATTGCAGCATCCCCATGGTCACATGATCAAAATTTGGATGCTTGGCAACTGGTTCATATTTATGATGGTTCCAATGTCCTGAAGTTACGTGATCATCTTTTGTAAACTTCTGACAAGCAAAGTCAATGGGGAAGCCAGATTCACTTTAACAACCATGCTACCAACTTAACACCTGTAGGGATTCTGTAACAACTGTGGCAAGCAAAGTCGTAAAATGGGGCAACATTCACTTAACAACCATCTCACATAGCAATAGAAATTTCGGGCTCAATTATGGTTGTAAGTTAAAGACTACCTGTATTGTACACTTGCATGCATTTAGGATAGCCTTCAAAACAGCTAGATCTTTTGGAAGGCTTGTGCTCTGCTATAATATTTTGAAAGAGGATGCTTTGCTTGTGCTAACACACTTTATGAAGCGCCTCTTTTAAATATTTTATCTGATTCCAATGGAATCTTTTCAAGATTCCGTGGCTGTACAGTATGGCTTTTCTAAATTCTACCACTAAAACCACTTCAACTGACTGAAACTGTTCCATAATTTTGCTATTGTACTTGCCTTCCCTTCTAACAAATGAACATTTCATATCTTTAATTTGCACTAAGGCATCTGCTTACTTATGTAAGTTTTTAGAACTACAAGGAAAGTATTATAAATTGTAAACATCTCTATTTTCCTTCATCTGGTTTTGCTTAGGGTAACTAAAATATATTAGATGTATATAATAATTATAATTACATATGTAGATTAATAACAGACACTTTTAAAATTCTGTTTTCTTTATGATTTGGTTCATGTAATATTAAAACATATTATCAACATTATCATCAACAATAATTGCTTGATGTTTCACTATTGGTAGTCTATAATGATAGCTTTGTTATTTACCCCTTTCCCTTCCTTTTTTTTTTTTTTTTGGCTTCTAATTAGTTTTGATGGTTTCCCATACATATGATGAATCTGCCTTTTTTTTCCTTATTCTCTAAGGTTAACTACTGGTTCTGACAGTTTTTCTTATGCCAAAAAACATCAAGGGGTTTAATTCTTCTACGTTTAGAAAAGTGAATTGTGAGTTAAATATACAAATTAGGGTCATGAATTTCCAAAGAATAATTCAGCTTGCGCTTAAAGTTTTGGTGTATGTAGTAGCTATTCTAAATATACAAATGGTATTAAGATTTTAATTAATAAATGTTATAAGCAGATTCAACAGCCAGTTTGATGTAGTGGTTAAAGCATCAGGCTAGAAACCTGGAGACCATGAGTTCTAGTGATGTCTTGGGTACAAAAGCAGATGGAAGAGCTACTTTTGAGCTACTTTCTCTTAGCTCTTGGAAGAAGGTAAACCATTTCTGAAAATCTTGCCAAAAAAATTGCACGGATTTGTCCATGCAGTTCCCAACAATCAGACAGGGTTGAACAGAAGAAATAAAAAGATTCTATATTAGATTGTGGGATTTAGCATTACTGAATCTATCACGTCAAACCAAAGGTTTGCCAGAAGAAATTCTTAATCTTTTCAAGATTTGTTTATCAAATAACAATTTATCCCTTCTTTAATCTGTATCAGAATTACCGTGTGAAAGCTGGGAAAAAATGAAGTTCTCATGTGCCTTATTGCCTATCACTGGTATTCAATAGTTATTAATATTGCATATTTTACTCAGACTTACAGGTTGTATTTCCACAGCACTACATAGCTAATATAATTGTTCACCTTTAAACGTGTGAAGTAACATATTTGGTTAATTAAAGGGACCTGAAATTTTTAAACCAATGTAATCAATTTTTTTAAAAAATGCTTGTCATTGCTTGTTTGATCAACAAAATTATCACTATTCCCATTCTATATAGGACAGACTTTTAGTGAATGTGATGAATGCTATGTACTCACTCTGACACTCTATGAACTGATGAATAAAAGTGCAGTCCCCTCCACTCTTTGAAAGAAAGTGCTCTAGTAAAGAAAGAAAAACCTTTAGGTTATATCTCCATCTTTGAGGGCTCAAATCAAAACATACAAGCCTCAGATATGAGGTAAGGGGAAAGGGATGCCTCAAAAAGGCACAAACCAAAATACTTCTGCAGTAAGTACAAGTGATATACCATGTATCAAATAAATGATCTGTAATATGTTTACATGATCAGAGTGCATAAGCTTTATAATTTAACAAATGAATTTGATAAATGTCTGTACTGGACATTTGTTCAATAAAACAAATAAATGTCTGTACTGGACAACTGTTCAATGAAATCTGTAAACAGGGGACCTATTTCTGCAATAAACATTAATTTATTTATTTTCCTCTTCTTTTGAAGCTTTATTATAAGCATGGTCATTTCACATGCTGACAGCAAAAATTAGTAGAGATAAAGAAAATAAAAAGTTTTTTTTAAAAAATCCTCGAATATTAAAAAAAATATTTAAAAGGGAACTATAAAATAGTTCATTTTATTTACCCTTCAATTCCATTATCCCTAGCCACTAATCATTACATAAGTATTTGTCCTTTTATTGAAAAGTTAAAGCTGATTCATATTTTTAAAAATGATTTCATCTATTATTTTAAATTCATCGCTTAACACCATTTTTTTTCTTGAAATTATATTCCAAATGTCTGAACTTTCTTTGCTATGTGATGTATTTTAGGTAACAGAGGAATTTTTGCTTATTTGGTTAAACTTAGTATTTAGTTAAAGTTTGACTGCAAATATATGCTGTGCCATTATTGCATAAACGCCAGTGCTGATCTCCCATTCTTATATTGTAAGCAGAGTTTCACTTTTCTAATGCTGTGCCAAACTGGATGTTGTTTTTGTCAGCATGTACCTTAGTAGACTGCTCTCTGAAATTATACCTAATAAAACATTTGTGGTTTCATTTCAAATTTTATTTTTAAAAAATTCTGAATATTTCAGTGTATTCTAATACTTCTGGTTGTGTGTGTTTTATTTGAATATAATCACCAGATGTAGTAGAATGTTCCTTCTTTACAGAGGTATGTCTAGCATTTATTATTGTATGATTTATCCATCTTGTTTATTATCTCCAACTGTGCGTTGGAGTACATTTTATTATTTTTCCTATAACTCTTCCCATTGTTCTGCTGTAAGTGCATCTTTGAAGTTTTGCATTCATTTAATCATACAGTTTCTAATTTGTTCTGTGTCTGCATCATATTTCAATAACAATTTATAAATGTGTCCCAACAGATGATCTTATTTCTGTAAAAGCATTTTAAACTCTTCTTTCCTAAAGTGCTATCTTCTTTCTTGAGATCACTTTTTATTCTATTAACTTCTAAATAAATTCTAAACTTCTTTAACCACAATAAATACCAATTTTTGTTAATCAATTCCTGCCATATTTTCTGAATTTGGTTATGCATTTTGGCATATATGATTGTTCTTATTGTAATTATCCCTGAAATAAAAAGCACTTGACAGTGATATTAATGGTGAAATTGCCAGATTTATCCTTATTTTCAGAAGGTTCCAAATTTTTAAGCAGATTTTCTCTCACAACAAGTTTCTTCCATTTTTTTTGGTCTTTTGTTTCTTTATAAACATGTCTGTAAAATTTTATTGTCCGCCTAAAATTGGTATTGTTCTATTAGGAGTTTGTATCCATTCTCTTAACTATGTAAAACAAATGTTCATAGTCAAGGAATATCTGTAACATTTTTGTTCTTCATTATACTATTGTAATATACTTTCTTGGAGTAACAAGAAGTCATTCATTCTCCATTTGAAAGGCAATTTTTGTCCTTGAAACCATGTATTGAACTTGGTTTCTGATCTACATATCATTGGATGGAACAAGTTCACTTCCTCAACAATGCAAAAACTTTGAGGTTTGGTATTTGGACTTTTTGTTATCCCTAAGTAATGTTTAAATCGCTTTTGTAATACTGTAGTTGATATTAATTACCGTATTTATCGGCGTATAACACACACTTTTTCCCCCTGAAAATAGGGGGCAAATGATGTATGCGTGTTATACGCCGATGTCCCGTTCCCAATAGTGCCTAGCGGCGGCGCAGCGTCGTGACGCTGCGCCCGCCGCATATTAAAGGGAATGCGTGTTATACGCCTGTGCGTGTTATACGCCGATAAATACAGTAACCACAATTCATTTTATAAATGAAATTAGTCATGGCTGATACTTAAGAAGTTTTTGATACTTCAGATTGACCTTTAATATAAATAACTAATGTCAATCAAATTAAAATGTTTATTGGTTATATCTCTACCCCATTGCTTTTTTTAAATTGTGAAGTATATTTGGTCAAAAAAAGGGTGACTTGTCAAATACTAATCAACTACAGACTAGTATCTCTTATCCAAATCCAGTATTTGTCATTTTCATCCAATTGATACCTATGTAATTATATTACATATTTTTAATAAATACGATCATTCACATATTTTTCATTTACAGAGATAAATCTTTACATTTTAGTTTATCTCACTTTCTCGAGGTTTCTAATTTCAACTGTACATCACAGTTGCACAGTTAGATGTGTTCATTAGTATATGTTCATGTGAAGAGCCAATTTGGTATACTGGTGAAAAGCACTAGAAAGTAGCAAGGGGACTATCAATTCTGTTCTGTTTTAATCTGGAAACAGTTAAGTGCCTTTGGATAGTCACTTTCTCTCAGCCGTAGGAAGAAAACAATAGTAAATGACTTCTGAAATGTTGCCCAGGAAATTGCAGAGACTTGTATTGTCCATGTATTGACTGCATCAAATTACATTATACATGTTCATGGTTTCCCCTCAAATATTGGTTTTTTTTGTAAATAATTACTACAATGCAAAGTACTAATTCTGGTGCTAAAGGCTGGCCTCTTTTCTTGTAATAGGGAACAGTAGTGATGTTTTGTTAAAATAAACAGAAGGCCTAATAACTAAGTGGTGATGAGGAAGGGATTGAGCAAAATCCAAAGGAAATCTTATAAGATGGTACCTTGTTAATATTATATAACAGAACAAAAATACTGGGAGTTCTGAGGCAACAACAGACCAGAATGTGGCCCACCTCTTTAAAAAAAACAAGGCTAAAAGATTGGTATCTGTAACTAGTACAGAAGAAGATGGGATTGGTAGTTAAAATAATTAAGATCCCATTTGTGGTGTTACTTATAACCTCTTTAAAGTGCAAAGTCCAAGGTAATGAAAATGAAAAGAATGTGATAAACATCGAAAGATTTTAATAAGAAAACTGGATGTGGCAGAGCAAGAGAAAAAAATTAAAGTAGAAGATATTTTGATGAGTCCCACAGCAAGAAGCGCAACATGCATGTAAAGTGTTGAGAAAAGTTATGAACAATGAATGAGTAGTAGACAAAGGGATGCCAATAGAATGTGACTAAAAGAATAACAGAAATCGTCTAATAATACTTAATGAGAAAGAGGATTTGTCAAGTTTCAAATGGAGTAAAATAGTCTGAGAAATGTCGGGTGTGAAAGTTCCTTCAGCAAAACAAGTAAATATATCTGCTAATAAACAAGTAAGGATGTAAAAAGATTTCAGTATGAAAGCAAATAATAAATTCTATTAACTTTAAATATATTTTACTTTAGAAATTAAATTGATTGTTAATCTGCAAGTATATGATACAAAAATAGTATTTGTTTGTTATTGGTTATCTACATAGTTAATCTCTTACATTTTTGCTTTTTGAACAATCAATAAACTATGTAAATAATTATGAAAAAGAAAAGTAGTTAATAGAAGCCACTATTAGTTAATTTTTAGTAACATTTATCTCTGTGTTGGCTAGGTCTGGACGTAAAAGGATCCCGATTTCAGATAGTAATTGACAGAATTGTACTCCTCCATTTTTATTACTATTATTTATTTAGCAGTTTTCATGCACATTCCAATTATTTTCCCCCAAATAAGCATAACATTATACATTTATAATAAATTACTAATTCTGGCTAAAATGAACCCAGATGCACTTTTAAACGTAGTCACCGAACTGGTAGTAACACCGGTTGAACCCCACCCATTTTAATAAGTAAGAAAAAGGAAGAGTGAAGATTCATTTTAGCTAAGATTAAAAGCTATACAATTCCAAAAAGCCAGAGAAAGCATAAAGAACCCCAATTCTGCCATCTTCGTTCTTTTATAACCATATGATCACCATAACTGACTATAAATAAGTCTTGCTGCATTAGGTATGGCACATGGCAGTAATATTGTGCAGAAAGCTCAGCTATTTGAAAGCTTCAATGGGATTTGGTAAGAGTAAATTTTTTTAGCAAAAATTAAAAAAAAAATGGTAAATAAAACATCTACTCTAATCTAGAAAGACAATATAAGTAGAAGTTAAAATGCTAAAAGATTCAAGAGATTTTATTAACAATATACATTCCTCACATTGTAAATAGCAATGCACTTTTAATAACCAAATTAAAGATAACATCTCATATACTCGTGCCTAAGAGGAAGTCCAAGTGAATTCAGCAAGGTTTACTTCTAAATAGTACATTGCAACTGTCCTACAACACATTCTTTAACACAGATACAAAATTCTGCTATTAAAATTTTCTCTGCTGGCATTTGAAAGATGCAAGATCAGCCCCACAGCAGAATAGTTAGACATTGTACATTTGATTTCACTTTAAAGTACCATGCTTAAGTATTTTAAAGTATTTTAAAATATAATAAAAATTTCCATGTTTAATATTTTAATCTTTAAAATATAAAATATTGTATTTACATTTATTTTTATATGGAACAAAACTGATTCATAACCTAAAATGCACAAACCACTATAAGAAAAAATTGAGAACCCTACCTTTTCCTGTGCTTCCATTAATTTTAGGAACGAAGTCATCAACTTGTATGCCTAGAATTAAATAACTGTATTAATTCTATATATTCAGAACACATTCACTTGCATACTTATGCCTTTCTACATGGATGAATTAGTGTTGAAAATTTAGCTTCTGGTGATTCTTAAACTGTTTGACTCAATTGCTCCTTTTCCTGATCTCAAATAATGTCATAATTCCCACAAAAAAACACAGTTGCAGCCAAGTTCTTAGCTGTATTCAAAAATATTCTATTCTTATTTAATATATTTTGTGAGGCTTCATGAGCTGACATTAAGAAAAATTAAAAGCAGAGCCCTCTACTGCTTGTTGTGTTATTTATCAATGCTCCAGAAATGAAGGTATAAAGAACCAGAATATTTTTAACATATTCCCACTGCTCAAGAATTATAACAATATGTAATTATTCTATAAAAATTGAGCAAAAAAACTAAGCAAAGTACTTTAAGGTCATACCTACCTAAGCTGATGTGTTCTTTAAGAGCTTTCTCCTGAAGATGTTCTAACCGGACTGAAAACAGAATTCCAAAATATATATATATTTCACAATTTAAAGGAAAACATGTAACATCAATATATTTGGATTACTGGACTTACCTTGTAAAGCAGTTAGCCGTTCATTGGTAAAGTCATTATCTGCTTGCAAAGCCTCTATTTTTGCTTGAAGTTCTTGCTCCCTTTCTTCCATCTCTTCAATTTTATGTTGCAATTCCTTTTTTTCAGCTTGCCCTTTTTGTTGGATTTCCTCTTGCCTACCTTCAGCTATCTATTTAAAGCAAGAGAAAGCAATCACCTCTCAATAAACTATTTTATGAAACCACCTAATACGGTTTTCATGTTCTAGTAGCTGAAAACAAAATTGAAATGGTGGTTCTACAAAGTATATGATGCTATATCATGAAACAATACCCTTCTTGCTTTATTTTAATCAAACATTAATATCCTTCTTCATGTCTCAGGAGATTTCCTTGTGATATTGGCAATATTCCCCCAATCTCTAAATAATTTTGAAGCCAATTGCGCATCATCATCATTGCAGCATCAAAACACAGGCAAGTTACACAATAAGTCAATGTGTCCTCTTTCCAGCTGACCAATAGGAAAGTATTTTCCTAAAAATCATTCATTTAATTCCCTCATCCAAGCTTCTAATTCCAAGAGAAAACAAAAACATACAAAAGAAAAACAAAGAAAAGAAACATCTTACACTATAAAAAGGAAATAAAAGAATTTGCTAGCCATATTCCCAGAATACATTGTGCTATAAATATATGAGAAATATATATGAGAAATATATATGAGAAAGTTAGCTGCAGAGTTGATAAGGAACTTATACTGCCTCTGTTGCATTTAAATATCCCATGTTAATAATGAAGTTATCAAGATAGCAGTTTTATAAGGAAACTCCATTGCCACATGGGTTTTAACTATAGCTCCAAGTTACATGAGTAGCTGCAGACATATGAAGGACATAGTGTTAGCAGACAGACATTAGGAACAGAATGGGCAGGGTGGAGGAAGATACTATCTAGAAGTGACAAGTATCCTCTAATATTATTCTACGTACAAGTGGGAAAGAAAAAAAATGCAGTATCCAGAACACATTCACTCCAAAAGAAACAAGTTTTGCATACTGTTGCATTGTCAAAGAAATTAGTAAGCTGAACTCTTTCTCCTTTTATTTGGGTTATTGTGTGCACAATAATAGTTGCAAGGACTTAGAGTCAAAAAGCTCAAATAAGTGCAGCTGCGTTTTAAAGTGGCAGATGGCATGCATTTGTTTGCTTATAGAAAATGGAAATAATATTCTGAGTTATATTTATAAAGGTGATCTGTGAAGCTATCCAGTCATCATTTCCCTTGAAGGATCTGTGAATGAAATGCTATTTCAGCTGAACTCAGAGAACACAATTCATCATTGTATCTGGGACTTTAGTTACTGAAAAAAGAAATATCTCTTTTTTTACCATTTCTGACATTTTACTGAGCTAGAAATAAATTTATTCAGCTGCTCAGCATACTTCTCTAGAATTGATTCTGCCCCCTTAACTGCTTTCACTTGAGCATGACTCAGAATTGTTTTGAATGTGCTTTTTTTCCTAAGAAGTAACCTTAATGTTATTTTTCTTTCTCTGTGAGGAGGCTGATAAATGTCTATTGATACTTGCCTAGAAATTATCACTCCTTCGAGACCCTCAAACTTCCTGGTACAAAGGAATTAACTGTAATAGTGTCAATGTCTGGAAGTATATGAAGCACTGGCATTAGAACAAGGAATAGTGATGATGAGGAAAGACTGCTATAGAGATTATATTCCTTTTTTATCCACAGCATTTGGGATCTAATAATTCAACTCACTAAACTCAGAAAGAACATCTACATCAAGGATGGATAGCCTTCTTTAGCCAAAGGCCATATTCATTGATGTATCTCTCTGTGTTCACTGATTAATTGTTATAACATAATAAATAAAAAGTGTTAGTCTCTACCTTTAGTTTGTCAGCAAGATCTTTGATTTCATTTACAGCTCCATTGTATTTGTTAGCTAGTTCCCGCAATTCTTCCTGAGTCCGTTCATTCATTTCTTTCAAGTGAGTACATTCATCTTCCGTGTTACTTAAACTTCTCTGCAGGAGAAAGAAACAGCACTTTAAGTAAGTACTGCTTGCATAATTATCTGACTGAAACAATCTCCTAGACAGGTGAATATCTTTCTAACCCTGATGTGCTCAAAAAAAACCCTCAACTTGTTCACTAGAAGGTTAGCATGCTGTATTCTGATCCGATCAATCTTTAAAAATTAACAGCAATCCTCTGACTATGGAAGATTAAATACATAAAAATAAATGAAGAATTTGAATGTATTTACCTGAATTTAAAAAACAATTAAAATCAGAGATCATGTAAGCCCAACATATGAACCCAGTATTTTCTAGGAACATTAACAATTAAATGGAAATCTTATGATAGAAAAATCTGCAGAACATCCTAGAATTCTCAACACAAACACAAAATTAAGTAATCAAACTGTTATGAAAAGTAAACACACTAAAGGTTTACTTGCATGACCTCAACCCTTCATTTGTATTTTAGAAATCTGGCAAAATGTAATAAGTAAATACCTCTACTTCTGAGAGTTTTCTGACCACTTCAATTTTTTCCTGAAGGACCCGCCTCAGGGATTCTTTGGCAGTTGTCTCATAATTATATTTGTCTTCTTGTAATGCTATAAGTTCTTTCCGTAAACTATCTTCTGTTTGATTCTGAAATATAACATGGCAGAGATTTTAAACCCATAATTCTTATATAACCCCATATATTTGTTTACATTCTCAATGTTATAAAATATATTATCCTTTTTTGGAACTTCATTTAAAAACTTTGTCCAAGGAATAAAACTTTCAAATTTCCAGTATTTGCCACTTCGTGATTTCAGAGTTGTTTCTGGCCAATCACCCCAATATATCTGTTCATTTAACTGACTTCAACAGCAAAAACAGTGTCCTGAGCTACATAAGTATATACAGATAACACTGACTTCTCCTTGATCATGCTTAAATATCAGGAATCAATATTAAGAATTCACTGTATGTCCCTGCTCCTTTCAAGTACATAATTTTAAACCTCCTAGAGGTGATTACTTAAATGAGATGGGCAGTGTAGAAATTTGACAGAAAAATAAATACTTCTTAAATCTGATCTAGCAAAATATAAACATAAACTTAACTGCTGTTAATGCTAACACAGATTTCAATGAACTAAAATTTGAATACACATGTTAGTTGTAATTCTGAATTCTAATTGAATAATTATTAATCCTGATTAATTTGGATTAATTTGAATTTAATTATGGTTAATATTAATATTAATATTAACCATAATTAAAGTGTATTTTCATTTTCCTTAATTTTAATGTGAAAAAGTTATAATTAATTAGTAAAGAATGAAAAAGTACATATTCCCAGTCTCTCAACAATGTTAGATCTGTACTAGTTCATAATGTTTTTTGAAACTCACAATCAAAACAAAGAAATTAATGCAGATGTTACAGGACTATATGTGATAATCATATCTCTCTCTGCCCTTGTCTTCCATTCTATGAGAGCCTGGAAGTTAATAATCTAATAAACACCAAAAGTCCCACAGATTCAGTGGTGGTATTCAGCAGGTTCTGACCAGTTCTAGAGAATCGGTAGTGGAAATTTTGAGTTCGGAGATCCAGCAAATACCACCTCTGGCTGGAGATTTTAAAATATCCTTTCCCCTGCCACACCCACCAAGCCATGCCCACAGAACCGGTAGTAAAAAAATTTGAATCTCACCACTGCACAAATTCCCTGGGTATATCTGAACATCAGAATAAAGCCTCATAGATAAATTAACAGCTACAATCATATATTGTTTCTATTACAATTATATGAATCAACTGGTATATGAGGGTTTTTTTTAACTGGTTTTACTCTGATTTGTTTATAGTAAAAAGTGCTTAGGGGGGTGGGGGCTGATGCATGTCCAAATATTATTTCAAATTTAAGTTGTAGAAAAAGAAAATTCCATTTGAATTCATGATTAAATTAGCAGTGAATTATTTGGTGATCTTAATTACGGCTTAAAATTTTTAAACGGCTATAACATAAACCAGTCCATTCTTCTTTACATGCATATATTAAAAAACTATTTTAAACAATCAGAAAGTATTAAATTGCATCCATCTGATCTCAACTTTCTATTTTATGTAAAAGAATTTCAGTTTTTGTACAATGGTGCTTAACTTCTTTAGGGATCTTTAATAAAGCTGATTTCTGTTTCAATCCTAAAGATAGTCGGTGACCTTCGGTTTAGCTAAACTGCTGCTTCCCAGAGTTTTGTCTGGTTTCTCTCTCTGCCATTTAGCCAGACTTAGGTAGGGCAAGGATTTCTCCTTCAGCCTTTCACCTAGTCCCCAGAAGGTTGGTGGTAAGAGTTTGTAACAAAGGAATGGTGGGAGTGATAACAAGAAGACCTAATCTTTCAGTTATTGTTCATCACCAGTCACAAGTCACAAGTCACTTCAGATAGTGGGGATGCTTTGATTCTAGAAAGTGTCTTCATTATTACAACATAACTTGAAGTGGCTTACAATTAAAACAACACAGCAAAAACAAAATACTGAAACAGCAACAGGATCCTTAAGTTCAACTTCATATGAATACTTTTGTTAGTAGGGGAAGATGGTGGCTGGAGATGATGATACTCACAAGTTTAGATGGATTTTAAATGATTAAAACTAACTATTAAATGGTTAATAGTGGAAACATCTATTAGGGAATATTAGGCATGTTATTGATAAAGGCTCCATAGTCAGAGATGTTGTGTTACTCAATAATAGTTGCTAAAGGGAAAACAGCATAGTGTGAGAATATTTCATTCCTTGCATGTAAACATTTCAGAAGCACTTACATAGTCACTGTGGGAAAAGGGAACAGATAGATCTTTGGACTAAATTAGCAAGGGTCTTCTTGTGTTTGCCACTAAACAAATAATAAGTATTTTCATATTAGTAAGCTCCCAAATGCTAGACGTCTTAACTGAGTATGGAACCTACTTTTGAACAAGCTTGTAACTGGTTTCCCATAACCTCTAACCTTGATAGAAGTCTATCTTCATCTATCAAAGCCTGTTAAAAAAGAAATCCAAACATGTCCTTAAATCAATACCAGTATTACCATAGAAACAATATTAACAATAAAAGTTCACATAGTATCTCCACAAAGTTTAATTTAATCAGCAGAGCTTTGTGGTTTTGATAAATAAGCAAGTGTGCTTTTTAGTTAATAAAAAGGGGAGGGGAGGGGAGGGGAAGGGAATAGAATACCTGCCAGCTTGTATCTGATGCCTCTTGTGTTACAGCTAGCAAACGCTGTAAGGTGGCCAACTTCTGTTCTAACATTTGTTCTCTATGTAAGGCCTCCTGCATTGAACCAAAAAAAAACCTCTTTAGTTTTAACAGCAGCGAATTATAACATTATTTAAAATTTAAAATTCTGCATAGATGTTGTTTTAAATTTAAAAGTAATAGTTTGAGATAGGAATGTTGCCTTTTAGAACTCACTGCTTAAAACTAATTTCTTTTCTGGTTGGTTTCAAATACTTTGCACATGAACAAGTTTTTATATGGTATGATAGTCCCCTTGTTTCTAGTAAGCAGGTAACACACACACACACACACACACACACATGATATCTATACAGACATCAATTTTATATAATCAATTTTATATGACATGTGATATTCAGAAGCACAGTAGTTTGTTTGCGCAAAAAATGCAATCAAAAGCTCTGCATATATCTAACTTTTTTTCAGCCTAGCCATA